CTAAGGACCAATCAAGGGCCAACCAAGGACCAGCCAAGAGCCAACCAAGGACCAGCCAAGAGCCAACGAAGGACCAGCCAAGGACCAGCCAAGAGCCAACCAAGGACCAGCCAAGAGCCAACGAAGGACCAGCCAAGGACCAGCCAAGAGCCAACCAAGGACCAGCCGAGGACCAGCCGAGGGCCAGCAAAGCACAGTGGGGACATTTTGAATGGCTACTACTGTACTACTGGAGACAATGCTTTTTCAGATTAAATTAGTTGTTTTTCTCTCCAGTGTACTAAGGTTGCAAACTATAACGTTGGGAAAAATGTCTTGCTCAGTGGTTCATCAGCCTCTGGCGAGAGGAACATAAGGAACCAACAGCTCCAATTGCAGGGATCTATCCCTCTCATTAACCCTCACCCCAGTGTTGGGAGTCAATGAGTCAATATGCCTTTCACTTCTCAATATGTGGAGGTGGGGGTGTTGTTCTCAGTCTGACAGACTTTTACTCCACTGAACGTCAGTGCAGGGAGAGGGATTCAGAGCCAACAGGGAGTGGAATATGTAGCTCTTTGTCAGCAGATAGTGTTTCTGTTTAGTTCATGTTTTTTTTTATATTTAGAAACACAAATATTCCCACATTTATTGTTTCTTTGTGTTTTAAACAGATTAAAGATCTGTTGGCCATTCTTTTCTCCATATTTTGATGTACTTCTTATTTTCTTTTGTTTAGAAGATAATCTGCTGTTTGTGAAATCGAGCCAGATGGAAACCAATTATCCAAGTAGGCTGCAGGAATTTCCTTGTTTGTTAATGTTTGTCCCTTTGTTAATCATAATCAAAGATTAGCAGTGTTTGTTTTCAAACAGTACTGAATAACTCAGATAGTTTCTTTTTAAAAGATAAAGTAGTGTTAGTCAGCTTCATTCACTGTAATCCGTAAGGAAACGGGTTGGTAGAGAGAGAGAGGAGGACACATAGCAAAGGTCAGAGGTCAAACCAGGAAGTGTTTTCTCAGTAACCAACATACAAACCCATTAAGAAATACTTACATTTATGTTTTTTTTTTTTACGCAGTGAAGATCTATAGATTCATTACACAAAGATTGAAGTTGATTGCTGTTAATTGTTATGATTTTTCTGCTAATAGAAATACATTTAAGATCCAAGTAATACTTCATAGCAATATGAAAATAATCCATCCATCTTCTTCCGGAGCCTTTTTCCAGCGATTAGTAGACAAACGGCGGGATACAATCTGTACAGGTCCCCAGTCCATCGCAGAGACATGAAGCCATGCAAACAACACACCCAATCAGAGAAGAGATGCCAGTTATCCAAACCATTACATTTTGGGACTAGAAGGAAGGCAGAGTACCTGGAGAGAACCCAGACATAAACAGGGAGAACATGCAAATTCTACACAGACAAAATGCCATTAATCTTAACACTGGACCTCCTTGCTGCAGCGGTGGATGATAGCCACTAGCTAGAGAGAGCGTGAACAACATTTACATCTGCAATCAGCATTCAACAAACCCAATCATTTTTATAAACTTTCATTGTGGACCGTACACTCAGAAACAACATGTGAGTATTAACAGATGTCTGATATATAGAGTAGATGGCATCATCTGCATTGGTAGATTGATAAGGATTATACAGAGTGTTCAACTGAATCAACTGAAGTGTGGTAGCCTCATACCGGGTTAAACAAACACTGCTGTTTAACGTCTAAATGTCGTTACACCTGGTAAAGACATTTAATAGGACCCCTGGTGTCCTCGAATTAAGTCTTGGGCAGCGTTCACTCTGCTGTTTGTTGTTTTACTGCTGTGTCTAAGCGGTTAGAAAGCAGTGTCTGAGATATACCAGCTCTATATTATCTATAAACATGGCCCAACTGGAGCGCTCATTCTGAATGCTTAACTCAGAGCTAAGCAGCCAGCAGCTCTCAGGTATCTTAATCTTTAACCTCTTCTCCACAGGCCGAAAAACCCATTTAAACCCACAAACAATCGGCTTTTAGTTGCAGCGGGAACAGTGCACTGACACGCGTCAACCTGGGTGAAACGACTTTGCCGGTCTGGATTAGCATACAATGGGAACCGCAGACCACTAATTTTGTTTGATAGCGTGGAGCGCAACATATGGACATCAACACACCGCTTAAATAACGTCTGATCAAACAAGCTGAAACCCTGCTTACATTCGATAAACACAGCAAAACGCTGCTGGGAGAGATTGAGAGGGATAAAAGTGCAAATCAATAGAGCCACTGACTACGCCCTGGCTTCGTAACATGTTGCTCTCCGTTGTTTACTTTCCTGATTTCTGTCGCACTGGTGACATTATCAACGCTAACCCAGTGTGATGGCGTCAGGCCACACAGCTGCCAGCGAGGAGTTAGATCCAGTTTTTTTGCCAGTGAGAAAGGAGCCAAATGTCGAGTTTAGCAAGTCGACGCATGTTTGAAAAACGCTCGTTAACCTGATATTTTCAGTGGGAAAGAGGCTTTAAATATAGTAGTAGCCATTCAAAATTTCCCCTCTTCCTTGATGGGCCCTTGGCTGGTCCGCTAAGATTCCAATCGATCTTTGTACTAAAATATTCTTCTGTCATGTTTTGTGGACATTAAGATCTACAGAGAAGCGCCATCTCCTGGTCAGACCCTGTAATTCAGTCAGAGTAAACAAATATGCAGCCTAGGATAAGGAGGGGGTCACTCCAGTGGCTGAAAGTTGGTTGCCATCCGGCTGCCGTTTGACTGGGAAGGGCCATTTTGAATGGCTGCTACTGTAGTAGACACACTAGTATACAAAGTTCTACTTTTTGTTATTAATTAACTTTATTTTACATTTATTTTCAGTTAGTTTTACTTGTGTTTTGGTTTCAACTTACTTCCTGGCATACTGGTCTGAATCCCCCCACCCCCAAACAACCAAAAACAAACAGAAAATGTTTTGTTGACCGCAGCAGCGCTAAAACTGATGGAGAGGGTCTAGAAACCTGCCATATATAAAAAGGTATAACAGGGTCATACAAACAACAGCCTGGCATGATCTGATCATCAGGTTGGTTATGTGTTGCTGACATCTTTGTCTGAAGAAAACTACACAGATTAGTCAATTTCTTGAACACCAAGAAATATCAGGTGTACAAGAAAAATGAAGCTCTATTGGATTTTTATAGAAAGTGAAGCTTTGAATGTGTAAAGGAACAATCTTTTTCAGAATAGAATGATGCTATGATGAACCGAGGTTAGTGCTTTCTAAGTGAAAGTTTAGTAGTGGGTGGAAGAAAAGAAACTGTGGAATTTGGTCTCTCCCATTAGTCAGTTGAATTTGGTCAATGCAAGACCAACATTTTTCAGCATTCTTTGTGAATTAAATCCACAAAAATCATAAATTGAACTGCAAACATGCAGCTAGTTTGTGCACCTTTTATGGAAACCAAACATTTCCTTCAGCGAATGTGTTTTACTCCCTGTTTTGAAGAAGCCTAAATGAGGGATGTAAATCAGTGACTTTGAATGGGGGCTAATCTATGACTATCAAAAACTTTCATAAAACCAGAGATTCTTATTAAATGAAAGCAGTATACGTCAGGTGTTTGTTGTGTCCTTTTTGAGCCTGAACAGAATTTCAGCTCTGGTCTTGATCACTGAAACATCTTTGAACAGCATCATCGTCTGCTGGCAGTATTTACTCATGCATCCATCAGGTCAAATTCTGAGTGTCTTTCAGGTCTTTTCTCTCTTTGCATTCTTTTTTTTTTTTATCTCAGACTTTTCCTTTAATGAGCTTTGCTGACTTTAGTCATCAACTTTTCGTATCACATGCAATACTAACGGTAAAAATGCACAACAATCTTTTTTCTACTAAAAAATTCAATTAAATCCTATAATATGATATTAATCCCAAAGGAAAAATAAATGTTGCAGTAACTGGTAGCTTATTTTATAGTTGTTGATAGCTGTAGGTAAGAATGATCTTCTGTAGAGGTCTGTCTTGCAGCTGATCTAGAGATGCCTCTGACTCAAAACACTTTGTGGTTGTTTAAAAATCTTCTAGAGATTTTTTAGGATGCTCACTGGTCCATGATTTTCTTAACTTTATGAAGAATCCTTCTTTGTTCCTAGAACAGAGAACCTTCTTTATCAGCTGGTTGAGCTTCTTTCAGTCTTTTGCTCTGATGCTGAAACCCCAGGAGGAAGAGATGAGACTCTCCCAACAGACTGATGGAAGATCTGCAGCATCTGAAGGACCTATGCGTCCTCTAGAAGTCCAGTCTGCTCTGTCCTTCTTGTAGACAGCTTCACAGTTGTGTCTCTAGTCTAGTTTGTTGTCCAGGTGAACATCAGAGTATTTCTACTCCTCCTCCACTTCTTCTCCCAGGATGTTAACAGGATTCAACTTGTTCCTGATTATTCTTAAACCTCCAATCATCTCCTTGTTCTGTTGACATCCAGGATCAGATGATTGTTTCCACACCATTCCACCAAGTAGACCTCCATCTCTCTGTGCTTAGCTTCTGCTCCATCTTTGATGCTCCCAATGACTGCAGAGTCATCCCATTATTTCTGCAGATGACAGGACTCTGTCTGGTCCTGGGAGTCAGAGGTGATAGAGGGAAAAAGGAATGGAGAGAGTACCGCCCCCTGTGGTGCTTCGGTGCTGCTGACTGCTTGATTAGACAGCAGAGCTTCAGTCTAATAAACTTTGCTCTGTTTATGGAGCAAAAGAAAGTGTAAAACACAGGAATGAAATAGAATACATCCTAAGAGCACCCTATTTAAAGCAGAAAGTCTCTTATGACACCAGAGTAACCAACTGGTGTAGAAACTTCAAGACATACTACATTACTGGGCCCCTTTAAAAAACGTTTTTCTCACATTACCTTTAAAATGTCAGCTATTTTTCCATGCTTTTAAGTTTAGAATGTGAATATTAGCAGTAATAAATGAGAAACAGAACCTTATGCTATTGTTTGTGTCTCTCTTTGCATCTCGGCAGACATCTTCTCATCAGACTTCTGTGGCGCAGATAAAGAGCTGGATGTGGAAAGCTGTCAATGCGTATGTCGCCTTAAAAAGGACTGTGGCCCTAACCGACACCTGGACAGAAACACTTGCAAATGCGTTTGCAACATGTTGCGGGCTCCATCTTGCCCCCTGAACCACGTCTTCAACAAAGAGACCTGTCAGTGCACATGTAATAAGACATGTCCGAGGCACCAGCCCCTGAACAAGACAAAGTGCTCCTGTGAATGTAATGAATCCCCAAACAAGTGTTTCCTGAGAGGAAGGCGGTTTCACCAAGCAACATGCAGGTAAGGAGGGAAATGATGATATTTAATCCCCCTACCAAGGCTTTTCCGATCAGCTTAGCAGCACACGTTCTGAGTCTTCAATGTATACACATGCAAGTTTACACTCAGATTAATTCGATGTAAATCTAAAAAAAATCAATGATCGGGCAGCATAAAGTAATGTGCCTTGAGCTCAATGTGAAATATAAGATTGTAGCGTGCTAATGACCTCCCAAAGCTGTCACTTAGCTATTTCCGCTCCCCACAGAGGGGGAAGTACACACACATACACCTACATCCATCCATCCTGTCCAATTCTGACCCCGTGTGACCCTGTTAGAGAGTGATTTATGAGTAGAACGTAGCAATGTTTGGAACCTGGCACATGCTGGTGGGGTTTAAAACCTGTGTTGGACAAAAAGGTGCTTGTTCAATTAGATTCTTCTAAATAATGTTATCAGCTTAAAGTGCTGTTGAAGTTATTTAAAATTCAAACAAGCTATGCAAGGAAAACCTGACAGTTGTATTTTATGGGTGAGAAAAAAAAGAAGCATTTTAGTTTTTCATCCAAGGTATTTTTAGCATCAGTGCTCATTCCATTTAGATTTCATTCTCAGGCTTCATTCACTAGCATTGTCTTCTGGTGAGGTACGGAAATACCCTGGCAATATAAATGAAAAGCAATTCAATTTGATTTATTTCTATAGCGCCAAATTCACAACACATGTCATCTCAAGGCACTTTAAAGTTCACCAGATCATCCAGTCAGATTGATTTAAAGTTTTCTATTTAAGGAAAACCAGTTGATTGCATCGACTCATTGACTTAAAGGCAAGCATGCTTGTAGCAACAGTGGAGAGGAAAAACTCCCTTTAACAGGAAGAAACCTCCAGAAGAACCAGGCTCAGTGTGAGCGGCCATCTGCTGAGGCCGACTGGGGTTCAAGGAAACAGAAGCAGACATAGAAAAAGAAGCATAGATACAAAAGGCAAATATGTTGATGGCAGCAGCACAGCTGATATTTCTCTCCAGGATGGAGTCACAGCCAAACAGGAACAGACCAGATGAAGCTACTATGAGAAAAAGCATAAAGTTAGAGATTGAACTAACAGATTCTGCAGAGTGGGAGAATAGAGATAGAATGAAGCAGAATGATGAACTAGGGGTCCCTATGTCCTCCAGCAGTCTAAGCCTATAGCAGCAGAACTATAGAGATAGCTCAGGATAACCTGAGCCACTCTAACTAGAAGCTTTATCAAAAAGAAACTTTATAAGCAAATCTTCTGAATTACATGTTCCCTTGTTAACTAACTTTTAAATAGGTTTAATAGGAAAGAGTTTATATATGATGGTCAAGAGTTTCAAATGCACTGGAAATACATAAATATGCAGCAAATGTAAAACATACTGCAAATACAAGTTGATGATATACAATAAAATAAGAGCAGCACATAAACACACAACACATGCAATGTGAAAACGCAAAACAAAGTAGCTGATTTTCTGTGCGTTGCTCTATTTTAGTACTTTAAATGACCGCTAAGTACAGATGAACTGCAAAATGTAAATGCACTGCAAGTACATTAAAAAGCTAACATAAAAACATGTGCACTTTAAAAATGCTGAATGGAACAAAGACAACTTTGAGTTTAAAAAAGTTGCGTACAAACCTAGAACAACAAGTGTTCTAGACCACTAGGGGGAGACGATTCCCATTTTGCAGAGGACCCGACCTTTAAGATCAGAGATTACATTACCTCAAAACTATTTTTTTTTTATCTTTGTTCTTTGTTTACTGATTCATTTTGAAATTTGTTCATGCTGTTTCTTTTCACTTCCAGTTGTCTAAGGCCTCCATGTGAGGTGAGGCGACGGAAGTGTGAAGCAGGTTTCTTCTTCAGTGAGGAGGTCTGTCGCTGCGTCCCTTCCCATTGGAGGCGGTTGGACTAATTCCCTTCTTAAAGGTGATCATCAAAGGCAGACTTAAAGAATCAATTACATCAACTATCACATATAGACCTGCTGCGCAACAGGATTCTTATCAGCCATGGTGGCAGCTAAGTGAGTGGATCCTGATGGAGTTGGGGAAACCTTTAGGATTGGAATAAAACATGGAAAATTGGACATGAAGACGTGAGAAATGCACTGATTTTCTTCTAAGGACATAAATTGGAGGATAAATGAACAGACAGGAGGGAAAATTGCAGGATAAAAAGAGTAAAGGCTCAACTTTTTGTCTAATAATGTGTTTTAAAATATTTGGAAATTATTGATGTCTTAGTATTCTGATGTGAATAATTCATTATATTATTTATTAAATGGTATTTCATCCTTCGTGTATTGCATTTTTTTCCGTATTTTTTTATAAAAATACACTGTGATCATTATTTTTGTATCATGTATGTCAAGTATATGTGTGTAAAATAAAGTATCTTGGATGTTCTCTACTGTTTTCTGTGTGTTGGTGAAGATTCTCAGTCATCCAGGTCTAAACTTAGTTCCCAAGTTTGAAGACGTTCCTCTTCCCATCTAGGAAGCTTTATACAGTAGCCCAACAAAACCTTGTTTTTGCTTAGACAATATGCAAATTGCACCTGAAGAATGATTGCTGCAAATTGAACAATTCCCTCTAAAGACCCCCCTTTCAGAGACATAGACAGGTATGGGGCATTACAGGCTAACATTGAAGCTTAACTACCTCAATTCCAAAGGGATGGACCCATTCATAAGTTTCAATTTGCATGTTTTCTAAACAAAAACAAGGCTTCTTTGGGCTACTGTATAAAACCTGGAACTCAACGCTATTTCTGACATTTTGAATTGAAAAAGCTTCCTGGATGGGAAGAGAAACGTCTTCAAACTTGGAAACAAAGTCCAGCGGATTTAAAAAAAAAACTTTTATGGAGGGTTTCCTGTGTGTTGTTGATCTAAATCTTGAGCTTGAAGGTGGAGTTTTCATAAACTACTCTTACCTCTTTAAAACAAGGGCAAGTAGTTTAGGGAATATTTGTATATCTAAGGGGCTAAATCAACTATATTGATTTTAATTAGCAGTGAGCCATATTACCTTGGAGATGCCACAGATGACATCATATATATCATTGTAGCATGGATCAACCTGCTGGTTTGGATATTTCAGCCCATGTTTTCCAGCAGCTCTGCTTGAACTATGCCGCTAGCGATATTTCAGGCACCTCTTCACTAATTTCTGATGTCCAATGACATTTAAATTTTGTTAAGGTCTTTGCTTTCATTAATCATTATAGTGAACTGTTCTATCTGTTCTTCTTTCCTCATTTTTAAAACATTTCTCCAAGGCGCTCCAATATTTCATGTAAAAGGTTTTGTGTTTTGGCGTCACCTTTTCTAGAAAGGATTCTGGAGGATGCCTGAAAGCAGCAATTTAAAATGTTCCACAAAGGTTAATACTTACGCCAGCAGTTATTCATTTACAAGACAGCATTTAGATACTGCAGAATGACCCTATAGTGCAGAACGGGGGCACTGCAAAAAAGATCTAAAAATTGTAAAAGTTTCTTAAAATAAATGCTTTTGCGTTTTCATTTGATATACTAAATAAGATTATCTGCCAGTTGAATTTGTATTTTTATCTTTAAAATAAATTAATTTTATATTATGCACTTTAAATAAGTAATTGCTGTTGTTTTTTCTTATTCTAAATACATATTGCCTTAATCCATTGGTAAAGTGTCTTACTTCCCTGCTTAATTCAAGAAAAGAAATGCACTTATTTTAAGAAGAATTGACTAACTTAGATTTCAGTTTTTTGCAGTGGGGCGGAGTTGATCAGTATCTTTACTCCAATTGTCCATATCAGAATCCTTTCCTAGTTTGTGGCTAAAGCAGAAATATGTTTTCAGCTGAAACAAGTTTGTCTTTAGACCATATTTGGTCCTCTGGACCCTCCATCCTGCATGCTTTAAATGTGTCTCTGCTCCAGCAGATATTGTCACTGAAAAAAAATCAAAATCTTTCTAAGTCATCTTTTCTTAAAATAAGTGAATTTATTCTTGAACTGAGGAGTTAAGTGAGACTCTTTATCAATGGAACAAGACAATTTACATTTAACATAAGAAAAAACAATTGCATTGTCTTATTTCAAGTGCATATTATGTAATTATATTATTTTAAGAGTAAAAATGTTCATTCCATTGGCAGATCATCTTATTTACCTGCTCAAATTAAAGGTAAATACACTGAAATTAAGAAATGTTGACTTATTTCTAGATTGGTCTTGCAGTGCAATCCTAAAACCTGTCAAGAGTGACAAATAAGTGCCACCCTATTGTAGATGTAAGTGACTAAAAATAACACAATACTCCTTAATAAGTTTTATTTACATCTAGATGGCTAGAATTTTCTTCATGAGCAGTTCTTAGGACCAGATTCCTAAATGTCACTAGGACTTGGTCAACTGGACCAACAGTATCCCTGTCACTATGTGGAGAGCTTCTGAACCTGTTTGGCTTTGGTCAAAAAAAGGAGTCAAGTACACCCCTGCTCACTATGACCTGAATAAATATGCAGAAAGTAGCAAAGCAGACTCCAATATGGACCCAGATACCTCTGTGTCATGCAATATCTTCACCTCCACCGTATTTGAACAACCACTCATGTAATCAAACCCAAATGTTATGAGAGGAGCATCCTTCTGTCCAACATCCGTCTAAAAAAACTGAGGATCTGGAACACTTAAAATGAGGTAAAGGCTTTAAGTAAACCTGTGCAGCTAAGACAGATTTTGTGAGGCATCTCATGAGAGTTCTGGGTTTAAAAGAGCAGCACAGCCTTCACTTAGTGCTGTTTTTTTGCTTCCTCGTCTCTTGCTCCCAACGTGTGTTTTCCATTTGGATTTTTTAGTTCTCAGTATTTTTTTTATTTTTTTGCCTCTATTTCCTTTGGAATATCAATTAAATCGTCAGAACTCATCTCTGCATTTGGGTCCTTAAAACCGCCTCCCAACCTGATAGTTTTGGTCTTGCACTCTCGGGTTTAGCTGTAGACTGGACAGTATGTGACTGAAACACTGGCTGACGTCACAGGTTTTCGAGGATTATGTCTACCCTTATATTTTTAGTCCCCTACTAAGGGTATTAGGTAGAGTTTACGATTTTTTTAGGAGGTTAAAGGAGGGGCAAGTGCATCAATGCTCAGGGAACAAAACTCACAAACTGATTTAATGGTTGATTTATTCTAAAAGCTTTAAGATGTCCAAGTCCCCACAAATTATTTTCATCAGACTCGTTTGAGGGGGCTACATCGTTTTTTGCTTGAAATAACATAATTACCCAAATTGTGTCCCCCCCTATATTGTCTTCAATTCATGTGATTGTTTGTGATACTTACACAACAGTTTCATACTTTTAAATAACTTTAAATTGTTCTCTGGGGCTTCACATGTTTTTAATTTGCTGAATTTGCACAGGAGCTTTAGCAACACTACATTTAGAATAAGTTGAATGAATGTTGTGCAACATTTGAACTGATAACGATGAAGAACAAGGTGATTAGAAAGTTTAGTACAACAGAAACAAATTCACACCATGCACTTCAATAAAGCTCTCTATGAACAACCCAACTCCCTTCCTGCCATTCAAATCCTTTTGACTTATGACCTATGTGTGTGTGGGGGGGTAGGTGGGGTGAAAGTGTGTGTGTGTGTGTGTGTGTGTGTGTGTGTGCCCATGAGAAGGAGAAAGCAAATGTTCATGCAAAATACGACCATGTTGGAAGGAAGTGGGGGGGCACTGGGAGAGCCAGTTGCTTAGATAACAATACAATGAAACACACAGATTGTGTGCGTTTACAAAGGAAATGGCTTCTTAACAATTTCCATTGGGAATAAATCAGACTCCAAGGATGTTTTTAGTGCTGTTTATTTTGACTGCAAATTTGAAATGTAGGTTTAGTTTCTACAATAAAGTGTCATTTTATTCTGGATTCAGTTTTCTACCTAATACCTAGATGCAATTAAAACAATAACAACAAATATATATATAAAATACATTTTTAATCAATTGCTTGAATTACTTAAACAAAATTATTATTGTTTTAAGCAGTTTTGGTTAAATGATCATGTCTGATTCAGTGAGACGACACTCATCCCACCTTGGATGGTGCAGCTCTTCTTTCTAAAGATCTGGCCAAATGTATCTGTCTTCCAAAACTCTGACAGCCAAGAGTCCAAACCTGGATGTTTAATCATAACTTATCACACCTTTCTGCAGCTTCTGTACTGTTACCTACCTGTCACCCCATTTGCTCCGACCAAACATGAATGGAATTAGAAAAATAACCTTGAAGGATTTCCAAATCTTCAAGTAGTCTTTCCTCCACTCCAAAATTACCAATTTCTATCATGTACCATTATGAGAACCATTTGGCAAAACGTAGTTCTTACTAGCAGCTAAAAAAATACCATCTCCAACACAGCATGTCATCAGCCACAGTGACTCATTTTTTAAATGACAGACTATTAAACAACATAAAGTCACATGCTGCACTTTTTCTATTAGTTCCACACAAGATTGGATTTAATTAGTCCTTTAAACTTGGATCATCCTGCAGTTCATGCAGCAGCAGCACATCTGCTTACTTTTTCCTCTTGTTTTTTCCTGTTCTCACTATGTTCCCTTTTCTCAATTTTTATATTTCCCACTTTTTTGTCGTTGTTGTTTTTTCTTCTGTCCATTTTACTCCACTTTTATTTCCTTTTCCCCCATTTTTTTGGTACCTTTTTGTCCATTTTCTCAGTAAAATCTTGTTTCTGAGTCTTGACAAAAGCTGCCTTTGGCGCGTACTTATGTCTGCCAAGGGCCCAAAGGTGAGGCGGTTCCCTATAGCGCTACCTTTTAGTCATCCTTCATAGGAAAAAAAAGAAGCTTACTTCAAAATGACCCATCAACCCTCCCTGTCTTTAATGGTTCAGTAAACACTTATCACATGGGGGGGATCTCCCCTTCAACAGTTTCGATCTTCACTACTACAGTAGTAGCCATTCAAAATTTCCCTACTTTCCTTGATTGTCCTTGGCTGTTCCTTGACTGTTCCTTGACTGGTCCCCTACAATTCCTTTTTAAGCATCAATCTTTGTACTAAAATATTCTTTCTGTCATGATTTGTGGACATTAAGATCTAAAGAGAAGCACCACCTCCTGGACAGACCCTGTAATTCAGTGAAAGGCTGGAGTTGGAGAAAAAAATATGCAATGCCCAGGAGAAGGCCAATGGCTGGAAGTTGGAGGGGATTTTGCTGAGAGTTGCAGGAAAGTGGGCTGCCTTTCGTTTGACTGGGAAGGGCCATTTTGAAAGGCTGCTACTGTAGTTCACCTCCACATGACAGACCATTTTTCTGACATACATGTAGTAAGAGGGACGGAACCAAAGTATTGGAGACTGAAGAAACACTTTCTTATG